TTTTAAAGGACCCCAATGATTGATACGTTGCCTCTTAGTTAATGTGTTTTCTGTTGTAAAAACAAACTCAAAAACGCCTTCCCCATCGTCTCCCCACCCAAAAACCCACATAGTTCTGCACAACAGTAGTATTGGGTGGCTGGCTCCACATAAATTTGTGTTGTTTTTTTTCAATTTGAGTATTTTCTCTTTACTTTGATCACCAGATTTGTTTCAGGAGGAATACAGCTGGTACACAACGAGTAATGCGAGAGGTTTTATGAGGGTTAACATGGTACTGTAGAACGAGGAATGTCCAAGCATGAAAGCAAGTATTTCCTGTTGTACCTTTGTGCTTTCTCTTGTGGTACTGTCACTGGATTGTACTTGAAGTTTACATTCCATATCACATTAAGCATTGTTGCATTGTCTGGTCTCAGATACCCCTTCTGAGTCTTACGGCTCTGAGGTCTCCTGTGTTACTCTACTTTTCAGTCCACCGACCTTGTTTTTGTTCTTCCTGCTCTTTATCTGAACTGGTTTTGTATCAGCAGTACATATCAAAACACAGCAATTGCTGGGAGAAATCAATGAGCACTAGGAGGTATAAATTGTTGCAATGAAAACTCATGGAACTGCTTGCACGTTGACTAAAGATGGATTATGTTGATTGCAGGGCTAGGGAACAACATATTGCTCAATCTATTTTGGTAAAAAAAAAAAAAAAAAAAAAAGATTAAGGAAATCATGCCATATTTTAATCCCTGTGTCGTCCTTTATCTGCTGTATGCATAAAATACTTATAAAATACTTCTTGTTTGCTTTAAGGACCAGTTAAATACTTTTCTTCCTTCGTGGTGTAGCATAACTTCTTTCCAATGATGCTCTACTTATCTATTCCTCAGGATCAGTTCCAATCTATAAGTGAACTACCACGTTTTTGTTGATGTGATGATTTTGCAAGATGTGGCAGTTACAGTAGTTATTTGTAAGTATAAAGTAGGCAGGTCAGAACTCAGCTGGGATACCTGGCCATTTTGATAAAATTGATACAGTTTACTGATAGATGTGTTGCTCTTTGGAAAGAAGAATTGCATACAGATAATATTGAACAAAATAGTAGGAACTAACATATTGGCTTTTGACATAATTAAAAAAAGTTGTTGAAAACTAATTTTTGTTCTTAAAATAAGTGAACTTCCTATGCCAGCCATTCACCAAGAAATTCACATTTGAAATGTTTTAAATGTGAATTTCTTTCTGAATGAGACAGAGAAGTGGCAATTAAAAAGTTTTTTTGACTTGAATTCCTGAGGTTAAAATAGTTATTAGTATTTTAACTACTTCAGATATCTCATAAGACGTCTTTCTTGAGAAGTGTGTGCTTGCAATAGTCCCCTTGTTTTTATTAAATTCTCTGCTACTCCTAGAGTTAAGATTTTTAATAATACACATAGCTTGCAGATGAATTTAGGAAGGATTAGTCAAATGACCTGTTACAGCCCAGACTTTTATGCTTAAATATTACATCAATATGATTTTTTTAATATATATGTAGGTCACGGGATTAGCATCAGGAAATGTGAGTACTTTGACAACAGGGATGCTATGCTGTCTTCCATGAAGGCAGCTTTTATTCACTGTTGGGGGCAGGAGTCAGCCATGAGCTGCAGCGCTGTGTGTTCTAAGTGCCTGTCCCTGCCGTGATCTTCATTGCTGTTCTCTGCTGATCAGTATTCTATTTTGAGGGAATGGCAAACTGTCCTAAGGTTTATTTTCAAACATAGGAACGATGAGTCCTCAGGTATTAGAAAATCTGGATATGCAAGCAAAAGCTGGTGGTTTATGCAAAGCATATCCAGTTGGAGATGGATGATTGCTCAGTAGATGTTCTGTGTGGCCTTGCTGTGTGATAATAGCCTCTGGCACACTGAGGATTTTGCACATGAGGTTAACCTCTAAACTTCTGAAATATGGGTTTGTAATTAGAGTTCTGAACTAAAATAATGATCTCTTGAAGGGTATTCTGTAACGCGTGTTATTGCTCCTTTGAGTTTCTAGCTATCTGATAAAATGCTTAGGTTGAAAGTGAGGACTGATCAAACTGTGAGGATAATTTTTTGTTTGTATGTACAGAATAGCTCTGAAAAGCTGCTTCAAATTTCAGACTTCTAATTACTGTTTGCCAGTGGCATAGCTGGAACTCCATGTCACTGGTTTGGGAAGGCCATGTAATCCCTTGGGCTTTAAGACAGCTGATTATTACTGCAGAACAGTCTGTAGGCTGTAAGGAATAATTTTTAGAAGTAATTTTATAAGGTAACTAACTTGCCATTCCTGGTTCAGCCTATGTTATAGCTGCCATGTATCTTGATGTCTAGTGTGGTGCTAAGTGTTGGTTGGTAGCTGGTACAAAGCATCTGCACCTTGAATTAGTAAATGTCTGCCTGCATACAGCCATCCTTGCTGAGTGTAGGATCTGTCCCTTTCAGATGACTGTTGCTTTCCAGAAAGCTGAAACTGGAAGGTGCTGCTCTGATCTTCCTAATGCCAAGGAAGTTAATTTTCATCTCAATTTTATACTGGACAAAATAGCAAATACTCGATGATGGTTCTGAAATGTGTAACTGCATTGAGGTCTGGGGTGTTTTCTTTCATCCTTCCCTCTTCTCTCTCTGCTTTCACCAACCTTCAGGAAAAATAACCATAGTTTCTTCTGCAGAAGTTCTTCAGGCATGGAGACTTGTAGTCTGGTGGGTGTTGGAGCTGAGATCAAGTTTCAGTTAAGTTTTTGCCTCAGTATTACTGCTTAATATATTCAGTTCAAAAGCATCTTAGATCAACAGCAGTAAGAGAACATACTTGTAGTAGGGAAGCTTTACCTGGAAGCAGTGGTGCTTTTGCCTTCTGAGAGTTGCTGCAATTTTGTATTTTTAGTCTGGGCTGCCATGCCTTGTTACTTGGTGCAGAATGCTGTAGGCATGGGGATGCTGGTTGTACAACCATTGGTAGGGCTGGCTGACTTCCAGGTGCTTTGGTGTCATGGTTTAACCACTGAAGCCATGCTTCAAGTATTCTGTGGTCCTTCCGTTCTCTCCTGTTTTAGAAATCCCACTTCTTGATGGTGAGAACCTCAAACTCACTAAACAGGGTATAGGGCTGATTAAGGCAGAGTGTGTATCAAGTTCATTACAATAAGGATTTTTTGCTGAGCCAGTACTGTGGTGAAGGAATGAAGTAGCCTGTAATTTTCATATTGCTTTTACCAGGCTACGTTTTATCTAAAAATGGAAAATTGTGGCAATTCAAATCTTTCTTAAGTGGTTTGTCTACTTCTGTTCTTAAACAAGCTCCATCTGTAATGCAGAAGCAAAGCTATCTCAGTGCCAGGCTTGCATTCTGCAGGCATCAAAGGATGTTTCCAGCACACCTGGTTGAAAATGGAACCTGCTTTTGGAAACAACTGAAGTTTCTGGAGAAGTTTGCTGTTATGCTTTATGACTCTTCCTGCAGGCTGGTTAAAACAGTTTTTCTTTTTTTGCAAAGCTTAAGAATTCTGCAACACCTCTCCTGCATTAATGAGGGTGTAGCACAGGGCAATAGTGGTTTGTGTTCTAGCCTTTGCACTTGTGTATTCTGTGTGCTGTTGTTAGCATTCCAGTGTAATTTTACTTGTTGGCTTTTCAGGTAATTCTGTCAGAATTTCACTGCATTTCATGGTGTCTGCAGCGTGGGTACCTTTTTCTGTCACAACCTCTGGAAGTTGAACATTGCTTTTTTTTTTTTCTCAGACTTTATGATGGTGATATCAGATGTTTGCTTCCTCAAGGGTGTGAGGAGGGAAGAGAAATTTGGCTTTTAAGTGTGAGTTATTGTTTTATGTTTGAAAGTGTGTTGTGGCATTAATGAGCAAAACTGCTTACACTGTGGTTTCATAATCACAGCACTAAACGGTTCATCTGTAAATGGGCTTGGATGAGGATGACCCATATCCTAAGTAGCTTAACCTCCATACCAGACACTGAAGTAGTTTGTAAATTTCCCAGCTAATAGTGAACTCTAAAGTCATAAACTTGCATTTCATCTAAGTTCTGCAGTTCAAAATATAGGAAGCTGCAGGCTGACTTTGTGATTTAAGCTGACTTGGCTTCGTTACGTTCCTGCTTTATGCTTAGAGTAATCCTTCACTGTTTTGATGCAGTGGTTTTGAAGGTGTGTATTCAGATGTCCATTGGCATCACTCATAGCCCAGGTTGTGCTGTGCGGTAGAGACGGATCACAGAATGTTAGAATAGGAGCATTTCAAACCATGGAGTGAATTATAATCATTACTACGTGCTGTTAGAGAAATAGGAAGTTGTAAAACTTCTTGAAGTCTTTTCTACTTGTTGTGAAGTCCATTTGTGTGTTAGATTGCTACCATTTTCCAGGATGGAAGTGTGTGAGTTATTTAATTTGTCATTTTTAATCCTTTACATCCTGTGGTGATTAGAATTGTAACCCTTCTAGAAAGAAAAGTGGTGTGCTCTCACTTGCGCTTGTTAGTAGGAGGTTTACGTAACTTCTTTTGATGAAATAGATACCTTGATATTGAACTACTTAAAAAGCAAGCATACATCAGAAACACTACTGAGCAGAAATAATTTCTATGCTTAGAGAATGGAGATGTTTTGGGGGGTGCTTTATAGCACAGAGGAAATTCCAGTCTTGTGAGCGAGACCATTCCGTTCTAACCATGAGCTCTGCAGTACAGCAGTGTGGATTTAGGTATTGCTAGGGAGAGAACAACTGATCTGAGGCTCCAAGAGTTTTCCTCACAAATGTTAAACTTATTGAGATGAACAAGTCTTTAGGTTATGTCAGCAATAAAGCAGTGCCCCTCTCCTTCATGAAGAAAAACCAGTTGTTCCCATTATGATAGCAAAAGAAGTCTATGCTTTGGTAGCTGAATTTCTGCTGAATTTGTTACAAAATTTGTCGTTTCTTAATAATTACATTCATTTTGATGTTTTTCTTTCCAGAATTTACATGTTTGACAGCAGAAGTTGGCTTTCTACTGTAGTGAGAGAAAATGTAAGTAGAAGAATGAGGTAGTTCCTTTTTTTCTAGTTTTTGAGAAACTAATGCGAACTTCAAAAAGTGGCTAACCAGTTTTAGTTGTTTTAGTCTACGCAAGTCTAAAATACCGATTTTCTACCTTAGTATTTGGATTCGTATGTCAACAGGAAGGATTTAAAAATGGTCAGGAAACTTGCTAAATAATAGATGTTAGTGCCTGCCTGTCTTCAGAAATGGAACTCGTGATGCAGAGGGAGACCATAGGTGAAACTGTTTCATCTCAGTGGGGCAGGGAAGTAAAAGGAAAAAAAAGATTAGGAGAGTTATTCTCATGAATGAAAAATTATTTACCAGCCATGTTGTGACAAACAAGGCCACGTTTCTTGTGAACAAAGGAGCTCGTCATGCTGTTCTTTCAGTATTTTTTTTTATTTTTTAAGTAGATATTCTGTGTAATCATAATTGTCACTAATATTTTTTTGGATAAATGAAACCTTTACTACTTTCCAGGCCCTAGCTTTAAGTGTTTCTGCCTCTTGTGAAGCCTGTTCGTAAGTGTTAAGTTGTGTGAGAAACGTTTTCTGAATTAGATTTGTTATTTATGCTTACTATGTATTAGCTATTTTTTCAGAAAGCAAACTATTCCCCCATGCTCTTTCTCTAAAGGCATCTCCTGAGGTGTTCTCTAATTACTTGCCTTGGTCAACCCTAAATATCATCTGTGTTCCTTTTTTTTTTTTTTTTTGGAGGTGCAGACACTGGAACTGAACTCAGTGTTCCAGGTGTAGAGAAATCATTGCTTTAGACAGTGTCAATGTAGTATTGCCAGTATTTTCTGTCCTACTTTTTGTGTAAACTTTTGTTCTGTTTTAACCTGCACCATGTATTAAGCAGGTAGGTCTTTGAGCTATTCCCCACGTGTCTTAATATGTTTTTTTTTTGCTTCAAGTAAGGGTTCTGTCACAGAATCCTGTGTGATCCCATCCATTTCTCACATTGTGTCCCTGTATATCTTTCTGTGATCTGTGGCCTCTAAAATTCTTTGTGTCTGTAGATGTGTGCTTCACAATCTGAAGGCATCTTTGAATCCTTTTTTTTTTTTTTTTAATCTTTTTTGGGAAGAGAACACCAGAAGTTTGTCCTGCAGGCAATTAACAATCTTATTGAGTGAGAGTCAAATAGGAATCATTGTGCACTTTTGTTTAAATAACAAGAAAAAGCAGCTTTCCAAAGTCGGTATGATATCAAAGCACTGGAACTAACAGTGGATTGTGTATAATTCCTTTGTCATTGTGAAAACGTACAAGCTGCTGTACATGTTACTAATAGGATTTATAGTATCTGATAGATTAGCACAGCTTCTTTTAATCAGATGACCTGCTATGAGACTGTTGGGTAGGCATAATGTGGAGCCTTTCTTACAGCTGTACATTTTGGACTCTTGTTTTTGCAAATTATGTCTATTTTTTTCTGGCTGCTCCTTACACACTGGAGTGATGTGTATTACCACAAAAGGTATTGAGGGAACAAATAGGGAATAGTCTGCTCATTTGGGAGAAAGGTGATTTAGCTAACCTGCTTATGAAATAGCTGCATTCAGGAGTTATTTTAACAATAAAAATGTAAGCTCTCTGTGTTTGCTGGACTTGGCATCACCAGTGGCTTGATGGGATTACTTCACTTACAGATAGCAGCAAACAAAGCACCATCAAGGGAAAGACCATTCTATAAATACTTGACTTCATTAGCTGTGCCTTGAAAAGCGTGTTCTCCTTTAAGCTGTGGAGGTTACTCATAGGACAGGCTATTCAGGAGAGAAGCAAGCTATATCTTTTCTCTAGAATTGTATGGAAAATAATGAATTATTTAATAAATCTTGCCTCCTTGCTCTTGTCAGATTAGAGAATCGTACTTAAATAGCTCAATGGGTTTGAGGTCTGTTGTAGTTCAGTATAGGTAAGCATTAGTCTACATGCAGAAATGATATTATTAATGGTAGTTCAAATAATTTGGCTTCATTGTATAAACAGTTTGAATATTGGAAAGGATATTCAGTGTCTAGCATGGAAATGGGTGGATTTGAGTTCTTAGCCCTTTAATTGTAGTCCTGTCACTGTTTTCCAGGTTGTAAGCTTTATCCTTAAGTTAGAGTTGTTCTACTGGGATCCTAAGTATGTTTGCATTTGCAGGAAGTATTGGGAAGTTTTATAGATTTCATAAACTTTCTATTCATATTTCAAAGATTCTGTGTAGAGTTGTTCAGTATATAAACATCTGCCAGACATAAACCTTTTGTCTTCTGTGGCACAAAGGGAAATGAAAATGGAAGTCAAGATGCGTGACATAATAAATTTCTTCTAACCTGGTTTAATTGCAAACTATCATATACGGAGAGTAACAAGTTGGCTGTTGTCAGTGCTTGTTTTTCTTAGCTGGGAAAGAGGGAAACAATGTTTTATTCTTCTATGAGTAAAATGTAAGAAGAGATTAGAGACTTGGGTCATTTGAAGTAGTGAAGAATAGTCAACTGCCTTGCAAGTAGGTGTATTATTGTCCCTAGCAAGAAGAGTATTATCTATAAGGTATACTTGTCAACAAGATTAGGGGGAATTAGGCTTAGAGCAGAGACACTTAAGCACATCAGCCTGTGGAAAGGTCTTGAGTGAGTTCAGCAAAGTGAATGTGTTATTCTTGAGAAGCCTGCCTTCAGGAGCACAGTAACACATTCACAGGGAAGTGAGGTAAGCTTGAGCTTGACTGCTACCTATTTCATCACAGCTGGTAATTTGAGAAAAGGAGTGTGGAGCTTGATTAGTTGCTGTGTGAGGCTGACTTGACTTAGAAATGAAACAACTTGCTTCAAAACACCAGAAATAGAAGTATTTCTCCTGAAACCTTCTTCTAGAATGCACTTCAATGCCTTTTTAGCATGCCAAGGAACAAAAAGGTATTATTACACGATATTAAATTGTGCTTGTTTCTGATGAGCCTACATATCATGTATTGAAGCTTCTGCTACTTCAAGTGCTTTTCCTGTATAATTTCTTTGCCTTAGCTGTTGTTGTTCTTGATGAGAGTGTGTGCTGTGTTGTGGTGATGTGTTTTTTTGTTTTTGGTTTGTTTGTTTGTTGTACCAGTAAGCTCTGATGATTTACAGTGCAGCTGAGAAGTTCAGATGCTACTGAAAGGTGTTTTTTTTCCCCACAGGTTCATATTTTTGGCATAAAATTAATTGCATAAGACTTGATGTAAAAGAAATAGGGGAATAGCCACGTCAGATGGTTGGTTAACCCATATATTTTACAGACCCATAAATCTTTCAGAATGCTCCTATATTTTGAAGCTTCATTAGGATTTTCATTTCCTGAGTGTTAGTGAGTTCAGTCAAGTTGACAGGAATCAGAACTTCCTGTTGATGTTCAAGCAACAAAGACTACAAAGGGAATGTGGAAATGTGGTTTAAACAATTCCTATTGATGCTGTGTCAGAAACGCAGTTCAGAGTTTGGAGCTGCTTGAAATGCATAAGGGCTGACTTGGAACACCAAGTGTAAAAGCGTATTTATTTTTGTTCTGTGTTTTTCTATATATATGTATTACAGGCTGGCAAGACACTGGGAGTTATAAGCATTTAGCTATTGATTTTCATGCAGCAAATATTGAAGCATGAGTTCTGGCAAGTGATTGATAGTCAAGTTCCATAGAAGCCTTAACAGTTACAGTTATGTTCCTTGGACTCGCTGCTGTAATGGACACTTATCTTGTGTGTGGGTGTAAAGGCTTCGTAGGGATGGTAAACCATCTTGAAATTATTCACTAAAAGGAAGCTGTCTTTAAAATCTAAGTGAATGGCTGCCTTTTAGCATGGAGTTCATGAATAAAGTGTTCTAGGAGCTGAGGTGTGCAGTAAACGGGGTATGTTGTGTGTAATATACATATGTCTGGCTAAAAGTGGTCATGAAAAGACTGAAGGTTGTGTTCTGATCATAGTTTTAATTCTTTTTGAAGGTATTTGGGCTGTTGTCCCCTTCTGTCACCTTCTGTAAAGTGGGAATTGGAAGGAAATTGAAGCAGAGTGCTGAAGTAGAGCACTGTTTTCAATTTGATGTGAGAGTTGGGAATAGAGCCTCTCTTCTGTAACAAGGCAACAGAGAGTTATGGCACGAGACTTTTGACAATCTCCTGGGATTGGTACTTGTGTGAAGGGAGCCATGTATCTGCTGAAGTTACCATGGTACCCTTAAGCTGTAGAACAACCGACTTCCTTGCAGCTTCTTACGTGTCTGAATCAGTGTTGCTGCTTGTGTTACCATTGGTCGAAAAACCTTGATGTGGTTGGGCTATTTCATCTGGCTTTGTCATTTGCAGCAGCACCTTCCAGTATGAGCTATGTTAAGCTATAAAACACGAGCATGAAATGGGCTCATATGGTCATTTGCATACATGCAGAAATGAAACGACAAGGTTTGGTTTCTGTGTATTGAATTTCTTATGTGACTTTTCCTAGGGGTGTAGTATTCTTAGAATTGTGGACTTGCAAAAGTTGGAGAAGACCTCTGTGATCACCCAGCCCAACCATCCACATATCACCAGTATTTCCCACTAAAGTATGTCCCTCAGTACAACATCTAAATGTTTCTTGAACAACTCCAGGGATGGTGAATCTACTGCCTCCCTGGGCAGCCTGTTCCAGTGCATGACCACTCCCTTGGAGAAGAAATTTTTCTTAACATCCAAGCTGAATCTCCCCTGCTGCAACTTGAGGCCATTCCCTTTAGTCCTATCACTAGCTACATGGAACAAGAGGCTGACCCCCCCCACCTCACCACAATATCCCTTCAGGGAATTGTAGCAAGCAATAGCATCTCCCCACAGCCTTCTCTTCTCCACACTGAATAATCCCAGTTCCTTCAGGTGTTCTTCGTAAGACTTGTGCTTCAAGCCCCTTACTGGCTGCATTGCCCTTCTCTGAACACACTCCTTCAGCCTCTTCTTATTCCATACATAGAAGTTTTGCTTCGTTTAAATGCAAGAGAATTCTGTTGTGTCACACAAGTTCTGGTAAGAATAAATTGGCACTATTTTAAGCCGTATGCTACACAATGACATACCTGCGTTGACTGACATTAGATTATTCACCCTATTATATTTTTAAATAAAGCTGTATGTAAATCTTCAATGTAATTACCTGTAGCTCTGCAGCTGGAATTCTGTGTCCTAAATCTTTATCTTAATCCTATCGTTGAGTTTCTCTGTCCTTGAGCAGAACATTTAAGGTTTGGATTGTAATTTCGTTCTCTGAAATAGAAGTGATACCATCTGAAGTTCCTTGTACTCTGCCTGGAGAGGTTGGTATTTGCTTAGTGGGAATTGGGCTATATATTAACTTAGAGAAGGGCAGAAATAGAATCAGATATTAAGAAGCTGAAAGATCTGAAAATTTAATGAAGTTTATTTTTAAGAACAGTCTTGAGAGTTTCTTGATTCCTTGGGGAGTAGTGCATACTACTTCACAGTGTGACTGGACCACAGCTGGAGAAAGTGATGGTTATGTGCTTAAAAATTGCAGGGAGACCCAACGGTGGAATGATTTGTCTTACATGTAGAATGAACAATAGATACTGAGAAAGAGAAGAACATTGAAAGGAAAGAAAGGTGGTTAGAGGATAATAAAAGTCTGGGTGGGTCTTTTCTTAACTGGATTTGGGGCTAAGCTGAACAAGCAATCTTAAAGGGCTTAAAGATGACCCTGGAGCTAGAAGAGGGAAAGAGACCTGGTTTCACAATGAAGAAGAGGGGTTTAAAGTTATGAGTGGAGATTTTGCGACAGAAACTAAGTGAAATTCCTTCTTTAAAATACTCTGGGTATAAACTTGTAAGTGATGACATGACAAGATGAGACATTTAAGTTCCTTGAGGTCATCAGTTTAGAATACTAGCTATTACAATAAGAGAGAGCATAGAGTTGGGTCTGGTTATGTGGAATTGCTCTCTTTAGAGTGTCAAAGCTCTACAGACCATCAGAAATTATCCTCGTCTTTCCCCTTGGGAAGGGCTGCCTCAGAGCTCTGGGGAAAAAAAGCCAAACCCCTCATGCTTGCCAAGATAAATAAGCTGATTAAATCTTAATGAAATAATATGTAAAGCTGCTAGCAAAGCATTTGCATTATTTAATAATAAAGGGTCAGTTCTGGCAAATAAAGTGTTCTTAACTACCGGTAGTATGTTTTGTGTGTTTTTTAATAACCTGCAGGTGCTTTACATAGTATTTGAAAGTGAATCTAATATGTTGTTCTCCTGTAAAGGGTGAACTTCGTTAATGAGTTTCTTTAGCACCTTACATTTACATTGTATGCAGAAATTCTTTGGTTAAATTGAGCTGTACCTTGGTTTCTTCAAGTATAGAATGCTAGTGAAAATGCCAACGTGATGCCAGCGTGGAAATGCCAGCATATTTCTAGAACAGACTTATAATCATGAGCAGTGTGCTTGATGGAAAATACCTATATGCTTATAATAGAAAACAGTCCACTTGTTGAGGAGTTACATGCAGAATGGTTGAGGGCGTTCGGTGGTAATTGTTTCACTGAGGTTTCAGTTTTGGCCACAGAGTACAGTGACCATATTAATGTGTTAATGACTGGAAATCCAGGTGTTGTAATGGAGACATGGCTTTAGCAGCACTTGTTTGAACTCCTTCTCTTAACATTGAAAAAAATGTTAATTTTTTTCTGACATATGTATCAATGCTGGAATCCTTTCTGGGAAATCTCAGGGGACACGTTAACAATTGGCCAGAAAAAACTCAACAACACTTGTGAATGATCTATCCAGATAATAGAACACACTTTTCATCACTGCTGTGTTTCAGACAGAGTTCATAAGGGCCTTTTGACAGCATTTTGCAATTGCCTGTCGGTATCTAAATATTTTAAGTTCTAATTTTGTGTCCTTTGGAGGTGTTCTGGCTTTCCTGTCTAACCTTAATATCAATTGCTGGAAGAGTCATTCTTGGTAAATTGGAGTTTATAAAAAAAAAACTAAATAAAAAACGCTAATGAAAGAAAAGATGCAAAAGAAGAGACCTGGAGGAAAAGGAATAAGTCCAAATAAGTCTGTTTTCTGTAGGTGGAAAAAAAAATAGTGAGCACGTATGCTAACACTGTATTCTGAAGACATTTCAGAGAAAGTCACCTGTATTTTGAAGATTAAAAAAAACATCAGTGATTCGTTTCTAAGTACTGTTTGAGGTAGTCTACTCAGTTAATTTTAATCTATGACTTCTGCTAATTCTTCTGTTATCGCTTGTCTTTCAGATTTCTGGTTGTTTGAGAGGTGGCAGCAGAGCACACCTTTAGCACAGGAAAATGAGTGAGCTCGACCAGTTACGCCAGGAGGCTGAGCAACTGAAAAACCAAATCAGAGTATGTATTTCATCAGTGGGTCTTGAAGTTTACAAAAAAGATGTGTGTGTCTTGAAGATGGCAAAGATGGACAGAAATGTGGTGCATTGTGCTTTTTTCCACAGTGTCAGAGTTAATGTAATGAAGTTCACATATATGCAACTTTACACAAGTAAATTCACAAAATGGATAAGATTGGATTAGATCAAGATGAATGGTTACTGTAGTTTTTCTGAGCCAGACCATGAGCAGTGTTTCCATTTATCTTTCAGTGTTTGTTTCACTTGCTCTTTTCAAGTGTAGTTTTGAGGAGCCTGAGAACATATTTGGGGCAGTAAGTTGGTTCCAGATAATGACCTTGTACTGAATAAATAGTCAACGGGTAATTCAGAAACATGTATTTGGTTTCCAGTAACTCTATGAGAAAACAAGCTGAAGAATGAAGATGATTAAAACTTCCTGAGCATGATTAAAGGTTTACATAAACTACATCTGTGAACTGTTTTGTGAAATGGCAGTATTAAGGTGAAGACTATAGGAGTTAGTATATTGTTCTGAATAAATGGTGTGTCTGTTCTTCTGTTACTGAGTAAAAGAAGGAAAGCAGTCTGTTTATTTAAAGATACAATGTAGTCCAAATGACATTTGTTTTAGATTTAATTTGAAAAATGTATCATGAAGCCCAAAGTGAACTGGAGTGTAGTCAGTATTGTAATTCCTTGTGGAGAGAAACGTAACATATACAGAACAGAGTTTAATCTGTTCTTTCAAAATGAATTCAGTGACTATAAATGACTTCAATACAGGCCTATTCTAAATGTTCATTCATGCTGAGACTTTGTAGAGGTCTTATGCTTTAGTAGGAAGGACATCAAAGATAGAACAGCTGAAACTCCCATGTCTTATTCAATTTGGTCTCCCTGTATGTATTTACCATTTCTTTCTGGGAAGTTCTTTAGCAACTTGTTCTTTGAGGTAGGTTGAAGGTTTAAAAAAAAAAAAAAGACAAAAAGAAACTTGTCTCTTGAAAGCTTAAAAAAACCAAACCAACAAACCTCCTGTAGAAAGTGAAACAAAAACTTGTTGGTTGTTTTTGTACATAATAAGTTGAGATGTTCAAGATAAACTCTGTGAAACAGGCTAAAACAGAGGATTTTATTCAGTAGACTCTGGCTAATGTTATATTTGGTTTACTTTACCATCCCTTCTTGTGTATTCCTTCCATTAGTCTTCAGCACCTGTTCTCTAAGTATTCAGTCATACTTGGTAGTGATTGAATTTTGCATAGTCCCGAGAAGAGGCACTATGAAGTTTTTCTACTTCTGTCCTTATTCTGAAGAGGTAGTCTTTTAATCTAGGAGTTAACAAAACTAAGTAAAGGTATTGCCTGCCTCAGATTAAGTAAAAAGTACTTGTCTTCATTGTTCCATCTCTGTTTCAAGCATTATTTATTGTTTTTAATGTACAGGAAGTAATTTTTTTCACAGCTTTCTGGCCAGCCAGCACACGGGAAATATCTAAATTAACTGTAAAGCTCAGATTTGCCACTAGTACTGCATACTACCAGTCTCTAACTCCAGAACAAATCTCTGTGCGTTCTATTATGATGCTTACTAGTCTGGATATGTTGTTCCAGCCCCTTCAGACATAAAAGCTGCCTAGAAAAAGAAAATAGAGTGTATTACTGCCTTAAAGCATGTAAAGTGTGGCTGTTATGGAGTAGTGTTTGTGCTGGAATGAGCATAAACAGATTTATTAGTATAACAGTTTCCTTTTGGTGCTTTTAGTCTTCATTTAATGCTTGTTTAATTTTTTTTTTCCAAGGGACTAAGCAGAACATTGGTTACATCTTAAACTAAATTCTGTTATCAGAACTCCTACGCTGACATTCGTGTGGGAGCACACATCCACACAGACTGGTTACCTGTGCTTTTTAAGCAAAGTTCAGCCAGGTGCTATTAACTGATAACTGGTAAACCACGTGTGCTTCACAGAAGTGAATTGAAAAGGTTTGGCCATTTATTTTCCCTACTTGCTAGCTCAGGATAATTCTCCAAATTTGGTCTTCCGAGGCGGAAAAAATCCACTGAGTCTCAACGATAAGCCTAAAGTATTTCCTTTGGCAGATAGTTCTGTTACCCAGTATTTCTTACAGCTAAAGTTAAGTTCTCTACCTTCTCTTTTCCTTTTCCAAGCTGTGTTCTTTCTACTTAGTTCTATGGTCAGAAAATTTTTGTCATAACTTCGTATTTTTCAGATACTAGGTTTAGTTTTCTGTTTTCCCCTGGAAGTTGCACGTACTTCTCTTACCTCTGCAATGAAAATTCTCATGTAACTAAAATAGCTGAGTCCCTTTGAGCTGATTTTGTACAAACAATGTATTAGTGTAGGACAGTTTGTTAACTAAAATATATTTTGTATGTAACTAGCTTGATTAATCAACACCTCTCATGTCTTATTTTTTCCTGAATGCGGTGGAAGTTGCCTGTCATTACGGCTGGAATCTTTTGCCGGATGTGAGGTTTCATGACAAGGAAATTTCAAATGCACAGCATGTTTTGACAGCAGTCTGTCATGTTATGTTCATGCTGCAGTTAGATGGGTCCCTTCTGAATAACAAACCAAAATGCTTTCTAAACATTATTTTGTGACAACTTGATTAACTTGACAAAACCAAGATTGAACAGAACTTCTTCTGAGTTCTCTAACTCTGTTCTATTGCAGGATGCTAGGAAAGCATGTGCAGATGCCACCTTGGCTCAGGTAAGCAGTTAATAGTTTAACATGAACTACAAAAGCATGTTCCCTTTACAAAAAGAAAATGTGCTGTAAAAAGGTACATCTGGGTAGATTTTTTTGTATTTATTTTTTAAATTTTGCCTTTAGGTGGTTTTTTCAAGAAATATATGTGGTGCTGATGTTCAGTTTCTGAGAGCAGTAACCTGGAGCAGTACTTTCTTGAAGAAATCACTCAGGGCTGATGCCTGCTGAAGGGAGCCCTGGTGTTTTGCTTCAGATGTGGTAGCAGCACAGTTGTGTTACTGGGACTCTCAGAACCATAAGACCTCTGAGGTTTACCTACTTATGCACTGATGCCCATACTTTAGAACCTGAGTTGATACCTCTGCGTGTTGCTGTGCTTTCCTGTTTTAATTTTGTTAACTTGGGGAGGGGAACTTGTATTCTGCAGTACACCTCTTGGAGACGGTGTGGTAGGTATGTATGAATGTACTGATCTTGTGATCTTATTTTCAGGCACAATGCTGCCTATTTTCCAGGATGAAAGTGTGCCATAAATAAATAAAAAATTGTGGAGTGAACAAAAGCAAAAAACTTTCATATTACTAGCATGGAATGTGTCTGCGATGAGGATTTTTGTGTCATGGAAGTGCTCTTTTCACAATGCTGATGGCCTTTGAAAAGAAGCAGAGACACTTGCTCAAATATTCTTGCTAAATAATTCTGTTACATGGAGACATGAGAAATATGCAGACAATATCCATAAAACAAACTTACATACTTTTGGATTTGTTGATGTGTACTTATTATATTACTGGAAATGTGTGCTGATTTGGGTTTTTTCATTGTTTTTGTTTTTAACTAGTACTTTTCTTTAGGCTGGAGAAATTATTGATATTAAACTTAGCTGCATAAGGATAGCTAAACTAATTACTTCCTTATGTTGCTGTTTACTTACTTTAGAGGCTGCTTTTATCTTCCAAAAGTTAAATAAAACAGGAATAATATGATTATAGTTTTCCAGAATTTGGAAGGGAAGGTCATCTGGATCTGAAAGTGAGTTATTCATCCATCTTTCAAATGCAGAGGCATTGTCTAAAGGCTGAAATAGTGCACTCCATTTCCTGTCTAGGAGGAAAAAAAACCACGAAATAGCCAACAAAATGATGGTTTCTTTAAAGCAAGTACTGCTTAAAATGAAGTTGTTCTTGATTAGGCATTTAAAAAAAGAAAATGGTCAATATATATTTTAAAAAAAAAAAGTAGGACTTCTTGGTTTGCATTGCGGTGCTTATTGAAATGTCCTTGTGTATGGTTTGTTTTTTCTGTGGAACTATCAAGTGAAAGATTCAATGGATGCTACAATCCCTATTTCAGATCACAGCCAATATTGACCCGGTGGGGAGAATTCAGATGCGCACCAGGAGAACGCTCCGGGGACACCTGGCCAAAATTTATGCAATGCATTGGGGGACTGATTCCAGGTGGGTTCACTGTGCTGTGGGAAGTTGGGTGCATCCAACTGTTATTTACCTGTTCTGCCAGAAGGATCCAGTAGTTCAAAAAGAATGTAGGGAACCGAGAGAACTTGGAACCACTTAATATAACTTTTTCTTCCTGGTATGTGTGGTTTTGTCATCAGAATCTAAATTTATTTTTAAAATGGGGTTCAGTCTGTGTGGCAAAAGTGCATTGTGACAGCTGTAAGATATAAGCTGGATTTAAAAAAAAAAAAAAGCAAAAAACCAACAATACACCACTAAGACCACAAAGCACTTCAGTGAGTGCTCTGTGTTTGGCTAGAGGAAGAGTCGTGAAACAAATCTGAATACCATATTGAACTATTTTCTCTGAAATTACTTATAAAAGGAAAAGACTGAAGAGATGATTTATGCCAGTGTTTCAATCTACCTCTGAGCATACTAAAAGTATGTAAAAGAGCTCTGAGCAATTAACTAATACGTTATGTGTCAAACAATTTCTGCGTGGAGAGTTTGGATTTAAATTTTTTTAAAAAAAATTCTTCCTAAAGTTATTCTTTCCATGGGTGACATCTTTGCTGTGTTTTTTTTTCCCCATTGTATTTCAGTGCTGATATCCGTTCAGTTTTTTGGGACAGCTTAGAACTGCAATTTCTGTTCTAAAAACAGGAAAACAGAAAAGTTGGCAGTACAGATTGTCAAATTCATTGAATCTGAAGCCTATGTACAGAACACAAAGGCACTGATTCCATGCAAGTTTTCTGCTTTGGTTTTCAAGATTGTTACCTAGCTAGAGATTTTCTGAAATCTGAATGTGTGGACATATTGATAATCTATGACATATTTCCATAATATTTCACATTTAAAATTGATGATTCCAAAATAATTCCTTAAGTGCTGATAGCTTGAATTGAGTAATGACATGCTGTACTTAAGTTGTACCTTAGTTTTGACAGTGTAGGCAATGCTATCAGAATACATTCCTTCTTGTCTTCCTGCAATGACTGTACTTACCACCTGTTTCCTCTTCAGGCTTCTAGTTAGTGCCTCCCAGGATGGCAAACTTATAATTTGGGACAGCTATACTACAAACAAGGTAAGATTAACTGTTAAATTGATAATTAATACACGGGAGGGAAATACTCTCTGTCAACCAAAGCAATGCAGACATAAGCCTAAATCTTGATTTTTCCAGTAAGGAATGTAGCAGTGTTTTAAGTGTTCTGTGTGTGAAAATATGCACTGCAAACAGAAGACGACAAAGAGGAAGTTAGTTAAATATTAAGTCTTCGTTTGCTGTGGGTTTCCAAAGTAGGATTTAAGTGGCTCTGAGAGTAACAATTTCCTCACTGGTTCATTCATAACATAGCATCTAAGCCTGGAGTTGGCAGTTCTGCTGACTGTACTTGGTAGTCAATGTTTTCCTGAACCTACTGCAAACTGTTAGTAATCAGAGCACTGAAATAATTTGATTTTTATCAAAATTGCTGATTAAGCTGAATTCAGGAAAGGCAAACCTGAGGTTTTAATTACGTTTACTTGATCTGGCAAGCTGTATTTTCTTGTCCTTTTGATGAAAAGATGCCCTGCTAGAGAGGGGGAGAGATGAAAACCTACTGATGCTAAATTATTGAATCAGTTGTTCTGCAGATGAAGTGCTGAATGTATTTGTTTCAGGTGCATGCTATTCCCCTGCGTTCGTCTTGGGTCATGACTTGTGCATATGCACCTTCTGGAAACTATGTGGCTTGTGGTGGTCTTGATAACATCTGTTCCATTTATAACTTGAAAACTCGTGAAGGGAATGTACGTGTCAGCCGTGAGCTAGCTGGGCATACAGGTGAGTACGTACTCAGAATGGCCTGAGTGATGGAGGCACACAGTGGAAGCCTTTCATTTTTTTTAACACATGACATTTGAGCTTTGTTGAAAGGCTACCTTACTGCCTGGTGTAGGGTGGCAATTAATTATCTCAACTCTTTTTTTATTAATTCCTCTACTGTGTTGTCTTGGTTTTTTTTTGTTTGTTTTTTTTTAATTTAGGAGCTAAATAATAGTAAATAAAGCTGCTCAATAATTTTCCCTCTTGCTTCCAGCTTCCCCTAGTTTTTAGTAAGGTAGTCCCAAAACAGACTCTATCCTGCTTTGGTTAAGGTACTTTACTAATTTTCTGCTGCGTTTAGATCAATTTGCTGTGATACTAATGTATCCTTATGCTATTGTAATGGTTTAATTAGACATGGTCAGTAAAGAGCCAGAATATCTTTGTCTAAAATTTCAGAGGTTTCTCTATAAAAATTCTGTTGTACTTTAGGCTTCTGTAGTAGTTCTTCCTGCATCTTCCAGGGAGGAAGAAGAAGTGTATAAGTCAGTATGCAGTGTGGAGAGTAATCTCTGATTTTATGCTTTGGCTTTGTGTTTTGCTTTCAGGATACTTGTCATGCTGTCGTTTCTTGGATGATAATCAAATTGTTACCAGCTCTGGTGACACCACTTGGTAAGCAGTAAAATTGTGACATGATTGTTAGTAATGACTTCTCACACTTCAAGTCTGTTGAAATAAACTTCTTCATAAAGGTCATCCAGAATTTTAAACAAGATTGATAATTGCTTGTAAGTCACATTTTTGCTAGTAATGGAAGACTTGAGCTTTCAAGGCTATTACCTTTGACTGTTCAGTTAAGCCTGTGTTCTCAATTGACCTATTTTTTGTGATAAAATGATTTGTAGACTTTTTTTGTGTGTTATTTGCCTTACAGTAATAAGTGATTTTTCTCAAAACACTTTAGTATTCAGTATTAATTACAGGTTTTTTTTTTTTACAAAGTCATATTTAGATGTTTTTAATATGAAAAGCTCCTAGAAAATATTCTACAGTGACAGCAGGCACAGCTTTTTTCCTTGAGGTGGATGTGGGTGTATGTCTTAATAAAAACTAGCTTCAGAATGAGAAAAGGCCTCAATCTTCTTTTCATTAGTTTTTGTATTATATCTGCTGCTTAAAATCAATACAGATCTCCCAGGCAGCAGTTCTTACAGCAAAGGTTGTCTAATAAATAGCTCTCCTACACAGTGTCAGTCTCTTTGAAGGCCCATTTATTTGTCCACTGATTCTGAGTAACTAATGAATGTAGGCATTTGTTTTTATATCAAGGCATTCCTAAACATAATTTATAAGACAAAAAGGATCCCTTAAAACAAGGTTCATACAAGACAGCGTAGCTGTTCTCAGAAGTTATCATAATTACTTGACAGTTGTCTGAATAATGCTTTGTCCAAAGCTTTGAGAAGAATGACAAGGTGCAGTGATCTTCTGTTTGCCTGGTACAGATCTGCTGCTGATGGATCTGGTTTATTGGGAAGTTAAAAGTTAAGGGATGATAGTGCTATTTCATCATTGTATACTCGTTGACTGGCAGAGTAGCAGTGATTTTGCTGTGTTGGGAAAGCGATGCAATTTTAAAATGATAGGCATAATTTACAAAGTCACACATCCTTAGTGAATTTTTAAGAGTGGGAAAGGCTGACTTGAATTTTACCTGTTGTTACCATTGCTTCTTTATACCTTGGGCAACAAGAAGAGCACAAAAGACAGGACTGTAAATAGGTTTTTAATTGTACCTTTTGATTATTCTTTCAAGCGCTCTCTGGGACATAGAAACTGGTCAGCAGACAACTACATTTACTGGGCACACTGGAGATGTCATGAGTTTGTCTCTGGCTCCTGATGCTCGGTGTTTTGTTTCCGGTGCCTGTGATGCCTCTGCCAAACTGTGGGATGTTAGAGAAGGAATGTGTCGGCAAACCTTCACTGGCCACGAGTCGGACATCAACGCCATCTGTGTATGTATCAGCTTGAACAAGGACATAGGATTTCAATTTTTTTTGTTATATTGGTCTCAGCTTTTAAGCGTGTACTGTATGGTGTAATATTATGGAATATTTTCTCTTAATGTTTTCTGCATCAAGTCCTGCTTGAGAGCTAGGGTGAAGTTCTATTCCAGATGTACAGTTTTGGATACTCCTGAGACAGTGGGCACTATGCCTGGAATGCCAGATGAAAAGCATTTTGTATGTTTGGAACTTTTCTGACTTCACAGTATAACGTATTTTGCAGCCTTTGAGTAACTTGCCCATTTTATCAGCCACTCTTTAAATTAATTTGCTTTCTTTTTTCTTTTTTCCCCATTCTTTTCTGCCCCCTGCTGAAGTTCTTCCCCAATGGCAATGCATTTGCCACAGGCTCGGATGATGCTACATGCAGGCTTTTTGATCTTCGGGCTGATCAGGAACTTATGGTTTATTCACATGATAACATCATCTGTGGCATCACCTCTGTAGCATTTTCCAAGAGCGGACGTCTCCTCCTAGCTGGTTATGATGACTTCAACTGCAATGTTTGGGATACGCTGAAAGCTGATAGAGCAGGTAAACATACTTGTTTTTAAATATGAAAAACAGACTTTTGGGGATAGGGACTGTCTTTTTAGGCATAGAAATTGTTTTGCATATGATCTGTTGAAAGCAATGCAGCATACTGTCCATATGTGGACGGCATACAGTTGCCTGACATCAGTATTGACACAGTAGCTTATAGAAATACTACAAGCTGGAAGTTGATAGCATGTGGTAGTCTGTCTGATGTTTAATATTTCACTGAACAGTGGCATTGATTTTTATGATGTTGTAACTGTTAAGCAGCGATTTGTGGTCAATGTTTTGTAAAGGAATCACTTCTAGAAGGTTTTTCATTAAAAATCTATTCCTTAGTTATTTTGTGTAAACTTCTAAAGTTTATTTTTAAACTATTAATGGAAAATAGCACTTAGCACGTGCTGATAAAAGGATCATCGAAGATGTTCCCACATCAGTCGCTCAAACTGCTTTGTTAGAGGTTTTGCTGCTCATTAGTGTGGCTATTAAGGTGAAAGAATGATCTCGTATGGTATTTGTTTGAAGCAGAGACTTCAGAAGCGAACAGAAAACAAAAAGATTTTGCAGATTACCTTTTGAGAAAGTAAAGGTGAATTTTTCTATACAGAAGTTAAGTCAATTCAACTGGAGTTCTTTAAAAACAAGACTTCTCTTAGGGGGGGTGGAAAAAGGAGAAAAAGCATCAGTTACGCCACAAGGAATATCTTAGCTCAGTGCAGCAGGCCGAGTAGAGGTTGAACATAAATAGTTGTTCTATTAAGTTGAATGTAACAGAGGAGAATGTTGGCTTCTGTATCTTTGCTGTTTAGTGTCCCAGTTATTTATTTAAATAGTACTATAATTGATTTTCAGATTTCCATATTGGCAAAAGCTATGTAGGTGTTGAAGTCTTGTAAGTGCTTGTAAACATCACCAGTTAAAAATAGATGGAAAATGTTTCAGTTTTCAGAACATATTTCAGCTTCTTTTTTGTGGGTTAAAATTCTTTAAAATCAAATGGATGTTTATCACTATGGAGAGGAAATGCTAGCAACTATGGTTATACTTATTACTATGACAGTGCTGACAGGTTTCTCAAAGCAGTGATTTCACAACTTGAATCAGTAAGGTCATGACTTGAGGAATATACAAGGAGAATTCTGGAGCCAAGCATTTTCCGTATTACTTCCTTGTGAACCCACACAAGTTTGTGCTTCAGAAAGCAAAAGCATTCAAAAATCGAAATTGTACTTGTTCAGAATTCTTGAAGGAAGAGACTGAGTAATTATGGTGTGGCAGCTTCGCTGTTATTTGAGCAGAAATAAGAAAGCATCAGAGCAGTGTGACAGGTTTGTTGCATATTCTTATTTCCAGGTGTCCTTGCTGGTCATGATAACCGTGTCAGTTGCTTAGGCGTGACTGATGATGGTATGGCAGTGGCAACAGGATCATGGGATAGCTTCCTCAAGATCTGGAACTGAAGTAAGCAAGCATCAAACTAATTAACTCTGTCCTTGCATGGTACTCAGTGCTGTTTTCCAGGTCCAAACAGTATTCTTCTACTGATGCTACAAGCATATAATTCAAGTTAAGAAAGTCACTGGGGGGGAAAAAAATCCAACAGTTTATCGTGGTTTTTCTTGTTGTTTGTGTTTTTAGAAGGCTGTTTCTTTAATGTATGCAGTAATGTTTTTGTGGTAAACTACTCTTTTACTTTTCTGGGAGGGATGACTGGTATGGTCTTTAGAGTCTGGGTTGGTAAATAAATGGCAGTGAGATAATGGCTGAATGCATCAGTGGGTAACAAGATCAAAATTTGAAACTTGACTACAATTTATCTAAGTGCAACTCTTAATCCATCTTTCTGTGTGTTAGAAGAGTGGCGGACTCCGTGACTGGAAGAAGTTTCCAACGGTTGAAAATTAAAAATGATAGCATATTCAATCCAACTATACTAACTTGGACCCCCATCCTCCCCAACTTCAAAGGGCAAGATCTTTTCCGTCTCCTGTTGCTGAAATTGAAGAGCACAATTACCTTTCCAAGAAGAATTTCTGTGTTGTAAGCAAAATGAAATAGTGCATTCCTTTTGGGACCATTTTTTTTTTGTCTTGAGAATTTAAAAATCAAACACTATCATAAAAGCATGACCAGAAAATAAACTTGAGCATAATTGTGAAACAGTTAGCTTTCACTGTAGTTTCCAAGTTGAAGTTAAGGACTTTATCTCACACACTTGCAAATTTTAAAGTCATGTTTGTAGCGGGATTTTTTTCAGGTTTCCTTTTTAAATACATTTGTTTATGTATTTAATTGAGCAAAACAAGGGAGTCCTAGCCCAGAGCATCTGGGGGTTGTTAACGATGTAAATTTAGTCCCTACTTTTTTTATTTTATTTTCTAGTATCACGGATAATTGTTGCACAAAACTTGGCATATATAGAATAACGTTAAGCAGTAAGGTAACCAAGCACATGCTGTTCAAGGTAATGAATGCTTGTTTAAAGAATCCTTTCACGTTTTATGGATAACAAATGCAATCCTTGGTCCCTCCTACCCCCTCTTTTCACCACACTGATTTTTTTTAATCTGTTTTGGTTTTGTCCACTTGAAAGGGCAGTTTATATATCCTAACACTATCCTGTAGTCTCAACAACGAGGAATCTCTGTTTTCAAAAGAGACCTATCCTACACTTGGGTATTGAGTCAATTCTTTGTGTATGAAATGATGTACAAATCAATGTTTTGAAAATAATGATCTTGAACTTTCTAAGTTAAACAAAAAAAAAAAACCTTTTTTGATTGTTTGCCATATTGGGTGGGTTTACTCTTAGAATCGCATGCTGTAGAAATGCTAAAAAGTGCATATTGGACTAAGTCCTTAGATGTTTTTTTCTTTGAAAAAATAACCTGTTTAAAAACTGTAACCATTGTTGCTGTATTCATTTATTGTTGCTACTCTGTGCATAAATCTATGAAGAACTCAAGTAAAAAGCTATGCACGTTTTGGAGTAGCGTGGTAAGTCACTTTTTTTTTTTTAAAAAAAAGAGAAACAGCCTGTTCAAACAATCGCTGTCAAAGATTTTGGGGTGTGGGAGGAGGGAACCTAAACCATCTTCTTTATAAAATCAGTTCCTCACAGCCAGTTCCTCTTGTAGGATGAGTCCTTTGCATCTGATTAGAATCATTTTTGTAACAAGCAGGTTTTCCTGGCTTTCTTTTCAAATAAAATGTTAAAAGCAGCAGTGTTTGGACAGCGGATTGTTCTGTTAAACTTTCCTATCTTCTCACTGTATCCAGAAATGCTCCTTCCTAGCAGCAGTAGTAGCTTTTCTCCATTTTGTTTTTTCTGCAACATTCTGTACAAAAATGTGCTGTAATTGTGCGTTAGGCCTGGATTTGGCATAAAAGATGAATTCCTTCTTTCTCTCTTTCATGAAACTACTCTGTAGAGCTTTTTCCACACCCTGTATCCCTCTTCACCTTTTGTATTTAATTTTAAAGTCAGTGTACTTCAAGAAAGCTGGATGCAAGATAGATACTATATTAAAATGTAATGTTATTTAAGATGTAATAAAGCAGTTTGACATGAGTTTTGACTGATCTGTTTTGCAGCTTATTGTTCTACTTAGAAAACTGCATCTGGCAGAAGAATTTGAGTTATGGAATATAATATGAGAGGTCAAAACATGTTTTTCATTGCTCGGTATTGTAATTGGGTAATGCATGTACTGTGTTTGAAAGGTCTAAATTGTATACGTGTGAAAAGATGCAGGTCTCGGTGGGTTTTTGGTGTTTTTGGTGCTAAAAACAGTTGCAAGATGAACTAAAACCTCCGTGTTTTTTATTAACAGACAGTATTTAAAAGTTGCCAGCAATATTTGAGAATATATATGTGAATGTGATATATGCTAATGCAGAATTTAATGGTCCAGTATGTATATGGAGTTCAGGCATTTTTCTTCCTCCATTCTTAATTATTTAGGATGGTTTTATTGCTAGGCTTTCTCAAGAGTTTAATTGAAAACAGTTGGCACTCCCTTAGCTTGGATTCCAAACAAAAACAGTTGATGTGATTTGCATTGGTATACATCACAAAAACGTTCTGTGGAATATATATTGAGTGTAATGCCTGAAGCAGGACATCAGAGAGCAAAATGTTTAGTAACTTCTTAAACTTTTGTGCCCTTCAATAGGAAAAGAATTGAGTGGAACATCTTATGTTACTGCCATATGAGGATCTGGCCAGATAAGCTGTATTGTCAGTGTTAGCTGTCCTTACTGTAGGTATTGAGAAGGGTAAGTAGTTGTCATTTTAATGCTCAGTAAGAACAAAGTCTGCACCAAATAGCACTATATCTAGAAAACTCTTTTGATTTTGTACCCACAGAAGTAAAGTTCTGTAGCAACTATTTAGGGATGCTGAAATGCAATTGGTTTAGCAACTTGATATTGGTCCACTTAAGACACCCCCCCCCCTTTTTTTTTGTGGGTAAAATTTCTTTTGATAATCTGACTCAGATTAGGATAGATTTTCATTCATTTCACACCAACCAAGACAAATTCCAATGTGAAGTCCTGGTTTCATGCCAAACATGGATATTCACAGCCTTGATAGAGAAGTATTAAAGTTTAAGTATGGAAAATATGATGGTGGCATTACTTAACTACAAATCATAATTATGAGCTTTGTGTTTTGGGACTGTATAACATTGGTAAGTTGCTTGGAAAAGGCTGGAAATACTTAAATTTTAGAATTCAGAGAGTCTCTTCCAACTTCAGGTGGTATAGCTTTTTTTCCACTCACATGGAATGTTTTTATTACAATTGATGTTTTGTATGTGAGTTTGTTTAGTGTATAATAAAATCAGTGCAGATGTTACGTATTACTTTGCTTAATCTCCATCCATGCACTAAATTACTGTTTCCTACCTGTTCTGATAATGCCTTTGCTTGGCAGTAAGATAGCAAGGTGGAAACTTCCTATGTCAAGAGGCTAATATGTCGTGTGATTGATTTGAAATGCTAGCAGGTGAAGATTTCTCTATTACAGGCAGTGCATCTGTTAAACACAAAGCTTTACAGTGTATTGCTTAGATGTCTTTTTCTGTGCTTAGTAATTCAGAGAGCTGTAACTGTAGACAAAAGATTTGAATTTAAAGATAATCTTGGAATATGGTTCCAAAAGAGTAGCATCACCCAGCTGCTGGCACATTTCTAGAGCAAGGTTTTATAAGTTGAGGACTGTGTTTGAAAATGATTCATCTCTGCCTGGCCTCAGTGACAGCTTCTGTAGTTCTTTATTCATTGTGGGCTCTGGAGCCCACACAAGGGGATGAACAAAATATGTAAGAAACACAAAGGGATCTGGAGTGGTGGCTTTGCAGTGAATTATAGAGTAAAACTAACAGGATGTGAGAAGTATGTTAGATGAGAAAGGTAGCAGGACCAATGAATCTGAGGTATTTGGGTAATGAGTAGATGCAGAGAAAAGTCACAGTTGTCTGGCCGTGACTTAGAAAGAGTGTTGCAGTAAAAATGGACATCCATGGAACTGTATACCTCAGGCAGCTGAGGGGAAGAAGTCAAGTGGAGGAAGAGATATCAGGTTTTGCAGTCTCAGTAGCTGGAGTTCAGAATGCTGTGTTCCTAATGGGTCTTTAATTTCTCGGTGAATTGATGCATTTCAAAAGATCTGAGGAACTATTGCTAGTAGATTGGAGTTGTACAGTTGAAATGTTGACCATTTGAAGTGCCCTGGAGTGTACATTTAAAATCAGCTGTGAATCACTCTAAAAATTACTGATTGAATCATGCTCTGTAAGAGCTAAAAATAGATTGATCTGGTTTCTGGGAAGTGACAGAGTAAATAAAGAATAACAAAACTTGCCACCCTTGCTGAGTTGTGTAACTAGGTCTGAAACAAATCAGGATTGTGTATGGTATTTCAGTTAATGTTCTTAGGGTAGGTGCAGTCCTGAATTCAAATATGAGGTGAAGGGATTACAAAAATGAATTAATGAACAAGTCTAAACAGCAGTAAGCAATTTTCAGGTAGCAATGCTCTGTTTTTCTCCCTTTTCTATGGTCTTTAGAAAGGTGGCTTTTGCTTCAAACATCAAATTAGTCATTGGATCTGAATTGCAGTGGTCATTTTGTGTAAGTATCGTAATCCAAGGTGTAATAATAATCCTGAAGTGTGATATGTTGAATGTTTTTCTGCTTCAGACCTGTGAGAGAAAAGGGAGGAAGAAGAGCTGGAGAAAGTTAAGAAGGATGATATCAGTTGCATTGTTCTAGAACAGGGATGCTTGGCCTATTGCCATGTCACTCCTGCTCTGAATTGTGCTGTCACGTGGAAGTTTGCTATATGCTTGGTGATGGAACCAAACTTTTTGTATCCAAATGACAGCTGCTTGCATGCTATCAGTTGACTATTTTCATTTTTATTTTCATAGGTGCTTTGTTTTTTCTATGTGAAAACTTTATTTGGTAGAGGTAGAGAAATTAAAATAGGCCAGTGTTAATTCAAGCAGGGTCTACTAGTGAGCTTTGGTTTCAACTGTGATTTCAGAAATAATGGATGGAGATTATGATGAGCCTCAGTAATTTTCTGCTTCCCTCCTGCCTCCCCCATATACTCCTTAGCACCTTCTCAACATTTTTGACATCTCTTGTCACAGATCTACTCCCAAGTGTTTGTTCTTTTCAGCTTTCCTCCTCTGCTTTTAGTAGGTTTTGGGATCTGGAGTTTCTAATGAAGAAATATTGGTTGACAAGGTATTTCTGCTAAGGTGGGGCTAAGATGATGTCCATTTCTAGCAGTGTAGTGAAGCATCTTCCTGCTGCAGAAGAAAACTGGAAAGTGTATTGTTTGTATATCATAAAGTTCCAAGCCCTTGTCTAAGGGAGGGAAAAACCACAGAACTACAGAATTGTAATATTTGGCTTTTGTTTCTCTTTGCAAAATAAGGATTCTGTGTTGAGCGAAGAGCAAGGAGGCAGCAACAAATCCTTTTCTATACTGGTTGGTACTTGACAGTGAGTCATACAGTGATAATATGTAACTACACATATTTATCTAAACTTTCACTGTCTTTGACTGTAGCTCCTTATCTTTTTTTAGTGGTGTACTTCCTGTGCTACTGTAAAGAAAATGGAAACAAGGACCAACAGGAATAATCATGCTTGATATCTGACTTCCTGAAGCTGGTGCTTTTGCTTTTTGCCATTGAATAATCCAGTGAGAAGAACCAGACAGGATTTAGAGTGAGTGGTAGCCACTATATGACCTATAAAGCTTAAGTAATGCTATAAGTGAAAGCTCTAGTGCTATTTTTTTCTTCATATATTGAAAATGCTGAAAACCATGATAGTATCTAGAAAACATAAGTGGAATAGTGGATGCAGTGATGTAGATAGAGTTTACATCTGCAGCACAGGATTGTACTTCTTAGGTAATATACCAACATACGCTTTATTTTTATATACCTTCTGAAAGCTAGCAGAAATGTTTCTAAGAGGCTCTAAAATTTTACCAGTCACAAACAAGTAGTCTTACACAATGGAAAAAACCATTACTGCTCTTAGGCATTAATAGTTCTATGGCTGTAGACTCTTCCCTGTGAAAGTGCAAATCTTGTTGATGCACTTACCTGTTTTGATTATGTCATCAAGGGCTAGATGTTCTACTTCTCTAACTGTAATGAGGGTAGTGTAGTTTGCCTAGTTGATTTTAAATACGATCTGTAGTTGAGGCTATAAATCATGACTGCACTCACTCATATCATGTAGGGAAAGCTTGGAAATGAAAACCCTCAAACGGTGTCTTTCATCTCACTTTCTTCAGAAGGAAGAAAGACTGATGAAGTTCACCTGCTGCCAACATAAAACTAAAAAGTTCATGGCATTTGCAGGTGCTTGAGGCCATCCATTTCCCCCAGTCATTGAAAATTTTCTGGTTTGTATTTTGTGTTCAAACATTAACTGTTTCACATTCGTTTCTTGTATGTGAGTGGAGAAATCATCAGGTTAGTCTGTGAGTCCCGTTGAGATGCCAGTTCCACTCTCCCTCTTACCATTCCAACTGTTTTGCAGTGCATAGGAACTGTTTAACTATTAAACAGCTGCTGTTCTTTGTCTAGTGGGGGGTCTGAGCTCTTGAATGAATAATAAGTATGAAAGGAGTGACAGCTCAGGAAGTGATGGACACCAGTTTGCACTAATGAGAGATCTGGGAGCTTTTCCAAGAATGACTGCATTATTTAATTGAATAATTCTATATTTCATCTACTGCTAGCATCAGATGTGTAGTTAACCCATTCTGAACAGCTTTACAGTACTTGTCCCAGATTCATCCTGTGAAGTAACATCAAAGAATTGTCTGAAGTATGTGAGGATGCTGAATTACAAAGCAGAGCCAAAGAGCTGAGAAAATGGTGAGGAATTGGAGGGGAGAAAAAATTCCTTTTCAGCAGTTCTGTCTTCCTCTTCCTATGGCTTATTTGAATCAAGTGACAGCATCAGACATGGTGATGGGAAATTGAACGAAAGTTAGCAATTACAGATAGACTCCAGAGAACATTTAGAGGAATTGAAGGTTA